CATCTATGTAAAAACTGTCAGAGTCTGACCACAACATGTTGATTTGTACAAACCTGATCATGGAAGCTTTTCAAGAGTGTTTTTGATAAGATGAATAAAAGAACGTTTTAAAAATTCAGAAAAATAAGTCGACAGTAGAAGATAAACCATGGACAGTGAAAGAGTGAAGTACCACAAACTGAGTTCTTACAATATATGTTTTTACTTCCTATTTAAAACGTGTATAGTTTTAGACTTTAACTTCCACTCATCCATAAAAATGATGATGGCGAGACACTTACAAGAGCACCCTCATGCGGATCTCATCTCTCTCCAGGACCTGCTCACACGTCTTCCCCACATGCTGCTTCCACTGGACATGGCACTTTCTACAGCTCTCCTGATGAAGAGGACAAGAAGAGAAGGAGATAAATGTAGTGAGAGATCAGAGGAAGGGGTAGAAAAAGCAAATATCTCCTTGTAACATTTATTAATTCATCTCATATCATTAATTATCAAGACTCTTCCACATTTCAACACTCTCTCCCTCCCTCCTCCTCCGACATCGTCCCAGTTCCTGCTGAATCAGAGGAGCCCTGCAGTCAGACTCTTCCTCCTGCTCTATATGCTGCTGGTGCCGCCACTGCAGGGACTCGGACTTGCACAGACACAACTAGGTGTGGCTCTCGCTGCACGTGTGCGTCTGCAGCGAGAGTGAGATTTGCTCTTTGCTGACTGCTCGGTTGCTTAGAAACAGCAACTTTGTCCTCTCCAACCTCCTTTTTGGTGTCAGCCCCGAGACGTGCAGGGCAGACAGCATCGCATCGCAACACACACACACACAGCTGAGGGTTGCCTCCTTTAATAACCCTTAGCTAAGTGGTGTCACCATAAATATTTGAGCCCCTCATGTAATATGGAGGAGCGTGGCATGCGACAGCTGATGCAGCAAAGAATGATCCATATCTTCACGGCAATCTCTCGTCTGACAGCCAACCTCCAAACACACCCTTTTTTTTTTTCCAGTGACCTCCTTAAATCACTGTTTTATATTTTATGTATTTCTGCTAACACCACAGATTTGTAGCTCCCACAGTGTTCGCTAAGACAGAGTGTTTGTGTGTGTGTGTGTGTGTGTGTGTGTGTGTGTGTGTGCGTGCAAGGTCAACCAAAGGGCGGGGACCTGATGAAGAGAAGCCAGAGTTTTCGTTGGCACTTTGAAACGTTTTCGGATCACAAAGATTCTCTCAAGGACCTTGAGGTACAATCTGTGGCTCCACAGTTTAGTAGCGTCGAGCGAGGGCTGGGCTTTTTTTTTCTGATACACATCTAACATGAAACAGATGAAACGTAGACCAACGACAGCAGTGAAGTTGTCATGTTTTTTTTCTCGTACTTGTAAGGGAGTGTCCGAGCAGCGAGATGCATTAAACACAATCAGCAAAAACTGGGAGGAGAAACGTAGAATCAGACTGAAATGTCAGAAAAAGCCAGATCACACAAAGACTGATGAGGCAGGGAGTGAGGAGGGGAGGAGGGCAGGAGGCAGCATGGTGAAAGATCGCCCCCTAGTGGTAGTCTAGAGAACCGGAGGAGGGGCAGCATGAGTAAGAGAGTGATAGTTTCACGATGTCTGTCTGAGAGCTGTATGACTTAGAAGGAAAACACCTGAGTTTTTACACATACAGCCGGTGTAGTCATATATAGTCAACTCTTGTATGGGATGTGTCACCGCCGCCCTTGATTGTCTCATTTATGTGTAAAAAACACAATGAGGGCAATGTTCTCCTTGTTTTATCTCATCTATCTCTATTCATATACCTTCTTCTCTAGGGTCCCATCCTTCACCCACTATATTCATCCTCAAACTTCACGCTCACCTCACATCCTCTGGATCTTTCACTTCTTTCTTTATCTCCTCTTTTGTGCTGCAGACTGCAGCAGCCCTTATAAGGCAGTGCAGGCTGTCTGCAGCACTCCTGATTGGGGGGGGGGGGGGGGTCTTGCATCGAGTATGTGCGTTTGTGTATTTTTGTGTGGATATGGCTTTTACCGCAGTCTAATCTGAGCGCTGATCACAGGGCAGGATGGAAGAGAGAAAGAGATGCATATCTGATATGATACAGTGAGAGAAAAAGCTTCTGTAGGGAGGGGGGGGGAACTGCAGCTGAAATATGCAGCAGATGTGATGATGTATGAGACGCCAACTGGAGCTGCACATCACTTACAGACACACAACAGACACACTGTTGTACAGATTCAGCTCTTGTTTGCACTGTGGCAGCCTCCCAGTGGCCTACATATTACATTCCTCTGATTTCATGAAGTAATCATACCCAGGCCAAGAACAGGCCTGTCCAAATGTCCCATGTGGAATACATTAGCAATTACATTAGTGTGTGTGTGCGTATCTGGGTCACATTTGATCGGAACCAAGTTTGAAACAGAGGAGGAAGTGTGTCCAACCAGTAAAAAAACAGTGCAAGGGGCGTGGGAAGCGTGGCCGGCCAATGAGGCAGCAGTGTGGAAAAAGACGGGTGGGCTTACAGAAGTGTGTCAGTTACATAATGAAGCCCCTCCCTGCTCGTAGACAGAGCAGGCTAAGGGGCCTGAACTGTATAACGGTCTTCAACCATTATTATGCTGATGGAAACAATGGATTAAAAAAAGTAAAAAGCAACACGTCAATTAACATTAAAGTTTGTCCAGCTGATAAAATCAAGCTTTACGAGAAGGATTCCAACACAAACAAACAAGAAAACACAACAAAGCAGTCACAGACTCACATCCTCATGCTTACATATTAAAAAAGTGAATTCCTCAGTTAACTGTTGACAAAAAAAAGATCAGGACCACTGTTCTTCAAAAACTCAAAAGTGTCCATTTAAGAAAGTACCATGAATATTGTCTCACGGGAGTTGACCTACATCCGCAGCTGCAGACGACTAATATTCAGAAAAGGAAATGATCTGGAGCCTGGAGAACTTTTTTGTGTCTTTGGGTTTGCATGAGGATGTAATGGAGTGCAGATGCAGAACTACACTGCAAGTCTGCCACTATGAACCTCTGGCTCCACCTACAGGCGAATGGACAGAACAGCAAGAGAGCTATTCAGTGCCCCGTGTTTTTCAGACAATAACTGAAATCACCATATTTGAGTTGCAGTTGTTAATAGAAATACATTTCAAATGTATTTATATAGCACGGTATCACAACAAACAGTTGTCTCAGGGTGATGCACAAAAGTCCAAGAAACACAAAATCCAACTTGTTCCACACCGAGCAAGCATGAGCAACAGCGGGGGAGGAACAACTCCCAGGTGGGAGAAATAGGCTTTAGGAAACAAACAATAGATAAAAAAAACTACACAAACACACACTACTATTGCTATATTCCCAGAATGAGAGAGAAAGGTGGGGTGTGTGTGTGTGTTTTGAGTCATACAAAGATTGTGGTGTTGCAGGAGTGAGTGTGACAGACAGAGACAAAACAAAAAAAGAGACAAAGACGCATCAGAGGAGAGAAGGAGGGTGTGTGTTTGTGTGGTAACAGTGAGAATAAGTCTGTGTGTTTGTGATTTTCAACTGGAATCCATGTGACAGCCTTGGCAGACACAAAGCGATGCCTCCCCCAGCATTCCTCAGACAGAGGGAGGAGGCCCAGAGATAAACACAAGAAGGAGACGGAGGTGGCGACCTCGCCAGATGGAAGCCTTACATCATCACAAACTGTTCATCAATCTTTCCTCTCTCACTTAGTTTGATCTATAACTCTTGTCCAGTACTGAAGAAACTTAAGAATTGAAGAAACTGTAGAAGTGGACACTGCACATAGAGCTTTCCTCTAGAATTCAAAATCACGGCCCAATCTCTCTTTTGTAGAGTAAGTTAAGTTATTTCTGTCAAACAACCATATGTGATAACATAAGAGGGTGTGTACATTCTACAAGAGTTAACAGTGTTAACCTACATTTGACTGTGAACACATTCCTTTAAGGATAGGGTCTGTATGAGGAAACAGCAGAGTGTTAAATAAACTAAAATTCAAAGAGGTGGACTGACCTTGCGGCACCGAGGGTTAGGACAGCTGAACAGAGACCTATCTTTGTCCAACAGTGCTGGGAAGTTGCAAAACGGACACCTGCAAAGGCCGGAGAGGAAGAAGGGTTAAGGAATGAAGAGAAAACAAAGAGTCATGATTTCTGGTCCCATCCATTCTGTCATCTTTGAGTCCAACTCAAAGAAATTTGCTGAAGGCAGATTTGAGATATCACATTCAAGAGGAAAATATATGTTTTGTGCAGCCACTGTGACCTTGACCTTTGAGCACCCTTATCTAATAATTTAGAAGCAACATTTGAAGAAATTCCCCTGAGGCCTTCTTGAGATATCTAAAAAAACACAAAGGCTACTATAACTTGGCTACATGGCTGCAGGTAGATTTAATAATCCAGTGGATTAAGAATGGATTATGGATTGATAATGGACGGGCAGCTGAGATATGAACAGACTGGTCTGAGTACATGTGAGACGAAGCAGCCCATCATAAAGGATTTTGGCTGCATCTGACGAGGTCTTGACTTGTCAATAACTGGCTTACTCTGTAAAATGTTGGGGGTTATTTTAAAATGATTCACCATTTCTGGTGAAAACTGCATGTAAGAGGTTCTGACTCATACACACTTACCGGACTAGTTCATCAGCACAGGTGGCAGCGACAGCCTCCTCTGCCTGCCTCTCATAATATTTACACAGTATGTTCTCTGGAAGGACCTTCTCCAGCTCACACACTGGGTAGGAGCACGGGCAACCCCCCTCCATGCAGCTCAGCTCCGACTGTAACAAAAACGCACACAAACAGTCAGAACTGCAGAGCAACTAAAGATGCCCTAGTTCTCAGTCACACATTAAATCTTACATTGAACATATGAGACCTCTCATGCATTTAAAATCTTATATTGTTTCTTTGCATGGTTTATTCCAACTTGTGTGTATAATTAATTCCTGCTCTATGTCCCATGACACATTGAGGGATTCCTCTCATGATGAGTCTTGTAACCTGGAGCGTTTTGACAGGCTTTGGAAGACATTATGTCTACTGCAAGTTTCAGCAAGTACAACACATTAATTAATACAAAAATATTAAAATGAATATTATAAATTAAGATATTTCTGTTAAGTGCATAAAACTGTAGAAAATAAGGTTTAATGCTGCTTTCAAAACGATGTAAGAATTTTTACAGTAGCTGACTGTCCCATTAAGACAATGTTTTTTAATTTAGTTGCCTGGATACATTGGCCTGACACACATCATGTGAGGAAAACAATATATCTGTCTGTACCTTTCCCGAGCCAAACACTGCCTCCTGAGCATATTTCACCAGGCAATCTTTACAGAACAGGTGACCGTCTGAACACTGCGTCATCTTCTCAAACGCAAACTCTCCATAGCAACAGCCACACTCGATCAGCTGGCCGTCCTGGACAAAGAATTATTCATAGTCACATTTCGATGAAGCTCTCACATGTTCACCTTTCTGCAGTTTTTCTGGCGACAGCTTTTTCATAAATGTATAAAACAGTTAGGTAAAGGCCTTTGTACACAAGGCATGTTTTTTCATGCAGTTACTTCACACGTAATTCATATAAAGTCTATTTGTAATTTAAAATTATATGAAACACTCTGAAAGTTCAGCCTTGTGGAGGTATTTGTGCACTTCTTACCATCTTATATTCATCTTCATTGACCTGCAGAGCCAAAAGGAAGTCCTCATGCTGGACAGACAGAGAGAGAGAGAGAGAGTCAGACAGCGGGAGTGAACTGTCAATCATCTCCTCTGACAATACGATAATATAATAATGAATATTTAATAGATTATAAACATTTAACTGATGGATCCCTTCGGTTGCTGAGCTTTTATTGCATATACGGTACTCAGACTGACAAATAATGAAAAGAACGAGTGTATTTGTGTTTACTGTACCTCTGCCCATTCCTTGGCTTTCTGCTGATAGAACGACAGCTCCTTCTGCACAGAGACTTCAAGATTGCTGTATGTCCTGTAGTAGCGACGGTCGTTCTCCAAGAAATACATCCTCTTCTCAAACTTCACTGCACCTGGTGAAGAGAGGGAACACTGTGAGTGAGAGCTGCATAGTATTCATCTGACATTCAGAACAGTTCAGTTTGAGAACCAACAGTAAAAGTGTTTTAACAACACTGAAGAAACACTTGACAAGACACCAAATATCCATCAAAACAGTCTCCCAGGATGCATCTGTACTTTAGCTCTGCAGTCAAACTCATTTATCAACTTTTTATTACTTTGTGAATGAAAACAGGGAGGCTTTATCGAAAAGCTTCAGTTGATTAAATTAAGTAAAACTTGATTTTAACTATTTCTTACTTAGTAGTGTATTTTCTAAATTCATTTATTTATTTATTTATAAAGCACATGCAGGTGGGTGCATAGATGAGAGCATGTGTTGTGAAACAGCAGTAGTGAACACAGAGAGAAAAGTCAGAGCAGTTTCTCACCGTGCTCGAAATGGAAATCAATGTAGCAGCGCTCAGAGGAGGCTCTGCTCCGTCGTCTCTTTCCTGAGGGGTCGCCTGAATCTTGCCACTTTTTCAGAGCTTCACATAAGGCCTGGGCGAGTAGGAGAGAGTGACCATGAGAGGGGGTTAAAAGAGGCAGTTGGAAAAGGGGGCAAGAAAGCAGAGAGACCATGGTTACCTTGCGTGTAATTGCATAGTGTCCCTTCAGAGCATTGAGGGCCCATTTGATGTCCTGACAGCTGAGCCTCCTGAAGTCTGCCATGAGCAGGTCGGCAGCTTGCATCACAGCCTCAGGTCCCACGGTGCCCAGCTTGGCAAAGTCGAACAGGTCCTCGCTCACCTGAAAAGACCAATTACAGAAGCATAAACACAAACACCCAGACACTTGGCTATCAAATACAGAGCTGTCATCAAAATGACAGATGGAAAATTAAGCTGTGTGACTGTGACAGATTTGTACCTAGGTAACAATCCATTTTTAATAAGAACACTCAAACAATATCATCTGTCTATGAGTATTTCTGTCATCGGTTTACAATTCAAGTCCATTTATCACCAAACTCCACCACTGTTCCGCACAAGTGCAGTCAAAAATCTGCCAATAGATAAAAAGAAATAAATAGAATAAATATATACAAGCTTGGTTGACGAGAGAAAAACATCTCCTTCATTATTTAAATAATGCAACTGCTCAATGTGTAGGTGAAGATATTAAACCTTAACTTAACCACATTCCTCCAAACATCGCCCTCTCACAGAAGAACCGGACCATTCACTGGTCATTCACTCACCTCTGTCTGGGTGTCTCCAGACTCCAGGAGGATGCTGGTGGGAGCTGCAGTGGCGGCTGCCATCTCCCTCCTTGGATACTCTGGGTTCTCCAACAGCAGGTTACAGATACTGGAAATACAGCAGAGTGGAGATGCACGTAAACACACTTGCAAGAGTATTTCATTATCTGTCAATCTTTACACAACAAATTCAAGTATACACTTTTGATACTGTCTCCTACAGCATCTGTGGTATTTCAGTTAAAATCTAAAAATCTATCTATTACCCTTGTAGATTGACCAGTATATCTTTGGTTATTTAATAAACAACTTTTTAACATATATATTTACACAAACTAGACACCAAGAGCTCGATAATTCAACATGTCCTGAGGAGCTGAATCACTTCTCTTAGCCCTGCATGAAACACTGGACAAAAATGTTGGGTGCTTCTTACACATTCAAGTCTTTCACATTATTCCTTTGGATCAGTTCTGCTACATAGGCTTCTTGAACATCTGGGAATAGATCCAGCTGTGGAGAATACAAACAGAAAAAGGAATCAAGAGTTGAAATAGCAGAGGTGAGAGGCATCATCACAGTCACCAAAATCAAAGTTTTTTAAATGTATATTCTGTGGGTCTCTCTGTTCAGATGCAGTGCAGTTGTAGGTGTATGTTACAGTACATGCTTCATGATACTCACAACACCAGCGATGAGAGTTATGACGTGAGGATGCCGCTCTGGCATCTCTCGTGGTGCAGAGGGACCAGGCCTTGCATCCTCTATTCTGGGAATGTCCTCTGGTGCAGGGGGGACGACAACCAGACCAGGGGCTGGATTGACCCTCTCAGGGTTTGGGACCATACGGAGACGGGCCTCCCCTCCATTGTGAGGGACTGAAGCTGTTGGAGCTGGAGGAACAGGAAGGTTGTAGTTCACATTAGGGACCCCAATGTTGAGGCTGCGAGCTGGTGGACCAGCAATGGAGCCACCAGCTTGTGGTGGAGGATTGGGAACAGCATCTCCCGGCGCCTGGCTCCCCAGGATGATCCGGTGACCAGCCTCTGGAGGTCCTAGTCTCTCCGGGGCTGCAGCTATTAGCACTGCAGGGGGGATCATCGGTATCACCTGAGGGTGTTGCGTTGCCTGAACTTGAGGCTGGGCAGGTGCCTGGGCCAGGGGTTGTGGCTCAATCTGAATGAGATTGCCTTGCATTCGGTTGAACGACATAGTCTGCAGCACGTTCTGGGTCCTGAGCTGCAGCTTGGGCTGGGCTATTAGAGCAGAGGCTTGGATGCTCGGCTGATGTGGAAGAACTAACTTCACTTCCTTCACCTGGATGAAGTTGGGCTGCTGGGATGTCGTCTTACTAGTTTGGAGCTGTGCTGATGTACCGGGCTGAGGCTGCGTCCATGTGTGAAACTGTGCAGATGTGCTAGCCTGAGGATTGTCTTGTGAATGAGTACTTGTACTTGCCTGTTCTTGAGTCTTTGTAGAAGAACTTGATGTACTAACTGCGACCGCACAAGAATTGTGTGTGGCACCAGCAGAGGTACTTGCCTGGGCCTCCACCGGTACATGTGCTGAAGAGCCTGCTTTAGGTTGTGCTAGCCCAGATGTGCTAGATTGAGGATGAATAAGTACTCGAGTAGGCGATCTGCATGAAACGGCGTTAGCCTTGAAATCTGTGGAGGTAGATGGGTTCTGGACAGAAGAGACTGCACGGAGCTCCACGTTTGTATGTGTTGATGTACCGTCCTGTTTCTGTGATTTTGTGTCAAGTTTTGACGGGGTCAGTGTGCATGAAGAAGAACCTGGTTGTGGCTGTGTGTTTCCAGAAGTGCCTGACTGCACTGTGGTTTGTGTTCGTATGGCTGGCCTTCCTGCGGAAGAGTTGGCATTGGTATCTCTGGAGGTGGAGGGGACCGAGCTAGGGTCCCCTGTGGGAACCCCGGGAGTTGCAGTAGTATGAACTACAACTTGGATTAGGTTTTGAGAGGCTCCACTCCATTTCGCTGCTGGGCGAATCAAATGTCTGCGTGCAGGAGTCAGTTGCTGCAGGTGAACAAAGGAGGCAAAAGTGACAAAGTGATCGATGAATTGAAGTAAAGATGATGATTCTATTGTAACTTCCGCAGCTCAAAATATTGAAAGTCATTTTAGTTAACAGTATATCAAAACACGTTTCTACCTGTCTAATGATTTAAATAACAAGCCCCTGTAAGAACACTGTTGGTATTGGTCACCTCAACTATGCTTATGTCGTCATCATCAGCATCATCCGGGACTAAGACAGGACTCCCAGGTACCAGAGTCACGGGCTCCTCGTCCGAGTCGTCAGAAATGGTGATGAGTTCCCTCTTACGGGCACGGGAGCCTAAACAGGCACATGCAAGTTAATAACAGCATATCCAGTAGAGTGCACGAGGACAGATGAAATCTAAGTATTGTCACTTGTGAATATCACGGTAATAGACATGTTCCAAAATCTCAGATGCAGCCTGTTCAGCTCTTATTACTGAATGTCACAAAACAAATTTCTCATTACACAATTAACACTGCGATGCATGTGAATCTTGAAATTGTAAAATACAACTTTGATTCATCGTGAAGCTGTCAGCTGAGCAGGCGGTCCTTCATATTCTTGGTGCTGACCATTTAGGACGTGTGTTAATACCAAGTCGTAACATAAATAAAGCCACTAGGGCCAAGTCTAGAACCTGTTACAACCTGGAACAAGAGTGTATAAACATACTGCTGGAGACAATCAAACAGAGATATGGACATTGTTGGTTTAATGAATGCCTTCAAGTGAGGATATGATGATGTGTCTCACCTTGGCTGCGGTGGATGTTGAAACTTGCCAGGTGTATTACATCGTCGTCGCTGCCTCCGTCTGCCATCGTGAAACTACACTTACCAGCTCCCTGACACCAGCTACACTGAGTCACTGCTCCATCAGTACCATCTGCCACACACACACACACACAGGTATGTATGTCAGAGAGCTGGAATTCAAACAAATACTTTCACTTTAAAAAGTACAACGAGTCACGAAGAACCAACAAGTATAAAGAACCAACTAGGAAACAACAACAGCTGCCAAGTAAAGTTGATCCTCACTGTGTTGGTCGAACTTATTCCACAATAACACTTTAAAACACTTTCATTATTAACTTTTACCTCCTCTAAACCAGCACAACTCGCCCCGGATCAAATCAAACCAGGCAGCCCATCAATAAATCCATTAAACACACAGTAACGTTGGAGGCTAACAGGAAGCTGAGATTGTAGCTACGTTGATTTGCGTTGTTTTCTTCACCTCAGCCTCGACACTGTGACATCAGCTCAAAGTTCCAGATGCTGTCGATTAAACTAAAACATTGTCAGGGCAGCGGCCGACCATTTCCGCGTACACACACACACACGCACGCACACAAACACACACACACACACACAAACAAGAGGGCAAACCCCTGCTCGCAGCTAAGCTAACGTTCATTAGCTTGGCTGGCTAGCTAGCTGAGTAGTTAGCTTACTTCTGTCAGTATCTCTGTGTTTCCTCCAGCTCCAGAGCAAACATGTCGACGGGCTCGCACGCAAACAGACGCTGTCGGTCGGCGCAGCTTCGTGCGGAGGAAACAGTCGCTCGCGGTTTATCGACGAACTAAAAAATACGCGAATAACGAAACTATCAGCCAAAACAAGAACAGCCGTGACGTCATACCGACGGCGGACGCTTCCCTGCGTCGCGTCGCGTCAGCCCTCCTCCTCCCGCGTGGCATTCTGGGAAGTGTGGTTTAAAGGGGAGAGGGAGTTCCACTTCTGCAACTTTTAAAAGTTTCAGGTGTTTTAGATCAAAAGTCAGAAGAAACAACAAGAAATCTTTAAAAATTAGAATTACTGATAAAGTTATTCAAGTTACAGAAATAAAAATAAAAAATATGGAGAAAAAATTAAGAATGTATTTTGATGGGGGGGGGGGTAACTAAAATAATTATATAAAATATCCAATTTGTTGGAAGCTATTATAGTTTCTGATTACTTTGTGTTTTGTAGAATCAAACCAAAGTGTTGTGTGAACTCCAACAAAGCTTGGTTTCCTACCAGTGAATATACATTTGTGATTATATTATGTCTTTTTTTCCATTATTATAATAAGAAATAATCACAAGAATAATGTAAAGCATCTTTCTGTGTGCAATCTTCAAAAAAAGATCAACAAAATACACATTTTGCCAAAAAGCAACTGAGCAGTGCTAAAACAAATGCACCACAGATTCTGGAGCTTCAGTTTTAATCTATGTTTTACTTAATTTATAGACTTTGACCGGATGAAATCTATGAACTAATTCAAGACATTTCCCTCATTGGGAAGGAGCCAGACATTTTAAATTAAACCCACCAGAAATCATCCATTTATGTCAACAAATGTAAATAAACACACCACTTGAGTAGATATTTCTTTATGCTGCTATAAAAGTCTGATGTGCTCATATTTATTACATTTAAATCATATGAGGCATGAAAATGTAACATCAATACATTCATGTTTATATGAATCATTAGTATATAGAAATTCAGATATTTTGACAATATATAAAATATTAAAATAAAGACTTTTTGAAATCATGAAATTTGATTTTAGTCAAAATTTTATCAAGACAATTGAAATATTGCAAAATACAAATTTGTTTCACAGTTTGTTTTTTTTACACATCCCTGACACGTCCCCACAATAACGCACACAACACAAGGCATGTATTTTCAATTTAATTTCTTTTAATATAATCTTATTTACATTGTATTTTTTCATAAATGTTTAGTACATAGTAAGTTACAATACTCTTGCATCCCTTACACAGTGAAATGAGAACCTAAAAAAAAAGCAGATTGAAATGATACTGCTTAACAGTCTTCACTCTTCAATCTACGACAGATCTCAATGTTTTCCACGTCACTCGCTCAACATTTAGGTTTTTGATTTCATTCACTTCAATGGAGAATTAATGACTGTAAAGAGACTTTGTTCATTCATGATGGTCTTGAGGAGGATGACTACTTTTCCTGACATTCAGGCTATTGACAAAAAGAGACAGGCAGAGAAAAAAATCCAGGTTAGAGACAGAAAAAAAAGGTTGGTGAAGTGGATGATGAAACATGTACGAAAAGGCTGAGGAGATTTTATTATACACGTCACATACAACCAAAGAATTCCTGAAGCTGACTCTTTCGTTCCATCCTCCTGGCTCGTTTTTGAAAAATATCCAGGTCATGCCCTCGGTCCTCTCGTTAACGTCAGTAGAGTTAGATTTTCAAATTAGGGCCGGGAAAAGTAAATCCCTTTCACTTCAATAAAGGTAACATGGTATTTTACACACCAACACACAAACAGTTTCCATACAATGACAAAGAGTATTTCACTGCAATAAAATGATGGTTAAAAAATGTAACGAAATCCAATAAAACCCACTTTGTGGATTCCTTGAATTGCAAGTGAATTGACCCTTCAGCTCTGGTAGAGGGGCTGATGAAGATTAGTGTTGGCTCTTTGTAGAGCACATAGCAGCTTGGTCGGTAATCACTTAGTAATAAATAATAGAATATTAGAGTGGATCAGAGTGGTCGCAGATACAAACGGAAGAGACAAAAAGTTACCAAACAAGAGGAGCAGGCTCATTTGATCTTTTTTTTTTTTCTTTACAGCGTAACTGGGTGCCATGCCTGACACAAACACACACACACAGTTACTCAGACGCATTCACGCACACACACAGTCACTCAGACGCGCACACACACACACACATCCACCCACCCAGGACAGTGGTTAAACATGAAGCATGAATATTAGTCGATCAATCTTGTCAGACAGAAAAGACAATCAGTCTCTGCGTTGTTCTTCACACATCGAATTTCAACGTCTCTTGTTCGCAGGCTCGTATGTGATTGGTTGATTCTGTCCGGAGACTCAAGCGCGACGGTGGCGGTTAGACATTCTGATGGATGACATCATAGCTTGTTAAAACTGAAGGATAAAAATGCTTCTTCAAAACATCTGAAAAATTTTAAAATACTTGTCCCCCCCATCCCCCCTCCTGCTGCTGTGCTTCCTCCTTTTACCCCCAACAGTCCGGTGGTGAATAGGTGGCAAGAGACTGTTCTTGTGATGCTTGGCTGCTCTGTATACATTCTGTATACATCATATTCTGTTTGTGTGTGTGTGCATATGTAAAATGTCAAATAGTCGTGTGCAAGCACAAGTGTAATTGTGTGTATGTTGGTATTGGATTCATCACTCCACAGCGAAGCCGCAGGTCTCCTCCACGGCCGTCAGCAGTTTCTCGTAAAGTTTCTCATAAGACTCGTAGGGTGGGATGTCTATCCTGTTAAAACTAGAGACAGAAAACAATGAGGAGTCACTCCAGGCCAAACACAAACGTTGATCAAGAAGAGCATTGAATTCTCTTAGGTTTCCTCACCATGTGTGGGCCTTGGGCAGGTTGTCTGTGTTGGCGTCTATCAAATGGATGGTAAAGAGCCTTGGTCCTGCAGAACCTGTAGAACCTTACACACATACATTCTAGTTATCACTGCTCTACTCTGGTACACAGAGAATCACACAACATTTAAGATCCTGTCCAGACCTGGTACTAACAACCATCCTGAGAAATCCAATGTGCTTCCCTCTGACCACTTGTGATCCGATCTCACTTCCCTGCTGTATATGCAAGTACATCATCAATGTTCTCGAAGACCAGATGATGTTGTTTTAATCCAGTCTGAGTTTACAGATGTGACGGATGAATGTTTGTGTGAGTGTCAGTTATTCTGAAACTGTAGCGAGTCAGCTGTGAGGGTGGTCCTTCACATGCGGCCCAGGACACATTTGTGTTCAAACAGCTAGAAGAATGTCACTGCATGCGTCACCTCTGATTGTGGTCTGAGCGATCAGATCTCAAGAAGCATTGAAGACACATGTGGATGTGTTCATATGTGTACTTAGCTCCGACCACTTGTGATCACATAACCCAGGAGTGATGTTAATACCAGGCCTGCATAAATACTGCGTGTATAGAGTGTGTGTGTGGTGTCTGAGCCAGTGCCTGACCCACCCTGCAGTGCTTTGAAACCCTGTAGCGGGACCCTGGTGGAGCCGGTGACAAACTGCAGCAGGCGTCCTCTCCTCTCCTCACTGAAGGCCTCCACCGCCTGCCAGAACCACCGAACCACGTTGCTTTCACTTGTGCAGTGCTTCAGGCGGGTGTTTGTCTTCCAGTCTGCAAGGTCGATCTTCCCCAATCCACCGATGATCAACTGGACGAGGGGAATAGAAATGGATCAAAGAGGCAAAGGTGACTCAATATAAACACCAAGCATTAAGACTACATAACCTTTTTTACTGTTGTCCTCTTTCTGTGGCCAAAACTAAACAAATAGGACTGAAATTACCGTATCTCAATGATACAGATGTTGAATTATTAAATCTTTATCAGTTCAATATGATCACTGGTATCGTTCAGTGAGCACATTTACCTCAAGTTCTTTATGGTCAAAAGGTTTGAGGAGGTGTTGGGGGATGAGCTCACTGAATCCCTTCTGTAGAGCCAGAAACTGGGCTTCGATTCCTCGCATGAACCTCCAATTCACGTAAAGTCTGAAAAACACAAACACAGGTTATGTGAGCCAAATAAATATACTGTAATAGACCAGTAAAACTATTGGGCATAATAGCTCTTATATCTGGGGAAACACATGACTCTCTTTTTTCTTACCTGACATATTCTTTCTTGTTCTCTTCGGTGACGGGGATATTACGCCCATTCGGCTTGAGTTCGTGTTGTAAAAACTTTCCGAAGGCATTGTGCTCCACGCAGAATGTGTGGTCGAGGACTGAAGTGATGTCGTTCTCTCTGCGTTAGGAGCAGAAGAGTAAATTATAGTTCATCTATCCAAGCCAAGAATGGGACTGTGCACGACAACCAAGAGAAGTGTTCATGATAAAATAGCTCTCTGCTGTCAGACTGACTTGACTCTACTTTTTATCAGATAGAATTAGATTAGATGGATTTGATTTATCATTTCAGAGAGATGTGACTTGTGCAGGTAAATGTGCTCACAATATCCAGACGAGACTCTTGTGCAGCTCTGGGTCGGTGGTCTCCAGGTCGTTGAGCTGGATGGGTTTGCCCAGCAGCTGTTTGTAGAAGGGTAGCGTGAAACTCCCGTTGATGTAGTGACCATGGAAAACTGCAAGGCCCATCACACGACCCACAAAGTGGAAATATGACAAGTGGTCCTGAAAGTAGGCAACA